AGAGAACTTTCAATTGCTTCTGAAAATGGAGATAGAAGGAAAACTCCAGCCCAAGACCAATTGCAACATCTGCAGACTCTCCCGTTTGATCTGACTGCATGGATCCTATGCATCCTTTGCACAAGCTTTATTCTCCATGGTACAAAGAGTAAGGAAACTCATGGATAATTCAAGAGGCAGTGGTCCATGGGAGCAATTTTTACTAAACAAAGAGAGGGAACATTCATACGGGTTAGGGAAACCCTCAAAGAAGAAAATGTCTACTCAGAATAGAAGCCATGCACACAGTTACCTAACTCCAAGCATCAGCTCTGGTTACTTTTATTTGCAGTATAAAGGCATCCAGATGATCCAATTAAGAACAGAGGACCACAGCTTCACATACTGCTCTAATATACAGAAAGTTACTCCCTGCCCAAAGATCTTCAAGAAACTCCAGGCCTAGACTGATGCTCACTGTAAAGATAAGGTAATCAGTTTACTGTCATCCAACTGGGTTAGGATAATCCCTTGTACAATCAAAATGACCCCTGCTGCCATCTTCTCCATACCTCTCAGCTATGCTGACCCTTCCTTAGCTTCTTTTAAGTCTCCTTTCTCCCCTCTTTCTGCTTTTTTTTTTTTTTTTCCCCCCCCCCCTTAGGACCCAGAGATAAGAGGCAAGAGCTAAGATGAAAATTCAGAGTCATCAAACATATTCAAGGATATTTTCTCAACTGTTTGCAGAAGTGAGAACAAAGGGTTACAAAATCTAAGGCAAATAATGCTCTCTTGGGCTCTAGGAAATGATGGGAATGTGTCTGGATTCAGGCTGGATGCTTTCCTCTAGCAGAGGAAATTATTGTCACACCATGTGGCCAGAAGTAAATACTCTTCTCATTGGAGCTAATGAGAGATAACAGCCCTTTTGGCCTCCCTAGCAAGTCCTCACATAGAGTGGAATTACTTCTTCCTCTCTATCACCACAGGATTTGGGTTGAGCATTCAGTTTTAATCTTACTCTGATGCATGAGATTTGTAGAAGTTCTGCCCTGAGCACTCTGAATATTAGCAACACTAATGAAATTACTCTGGAACTGTTATTTTTCACCTTGGTGTTTCACCTGACCACCTTCTTGTGTTGCTGATCTGCATTGCAGCACTTCCCTTTGCTCCCAAGGACAGAGACTTTGCAGTTATAAGCCTAATCATGAATGGCCTGAAGGCTCAGGCAAGCCAGAATCAGCAGGGCACTGACCTTTAACACTCTGGGAAAGAGAGAAGCCAAAAGTAATCTTCAAACCAAGCTTGCTTCTTTAATACAAATAGATGGTTGGGAAATTATGCAAGGCTGCTACGGGAGCTTAGTTAACTCTAACTAGAACCCTCCTCCGAGAAACTCCTCTTCTCCATAGCTTGCCACAAACTTGGAAGCCAGTTTGAGAGGATTTCAGCTGGAACCAGTATTCAGAGAAAGCTGGCTTCAAGACTACCAACACACAGATGAAATCATAGTATTAAGACTGATGAAGTTGAATCAAGATTTATGTGTACAAGTCAGGATGGGCACCTTGCTATACCTACATGACATCTCTCACTTTCATAGACCTCTTCCAGGAGTAAGTAAATTTGTCATTTCACCAGAGAACAGTAGCTGTTTTTCTTCGTTAAAGATAATTTTGACTTCAGTCTTATAGTCTTTTTGGATCTATTCCTTTGCATTCTGCAAGGATCCAAGTCATAGGCAACCAAGGAAGGTAAGCAGCTGAGAGAGAAACTGCCCAATTAGACTTCAGAATTGTTGTAGTACTTTTTTTTTTTTTAAAAAAAAGGCAATGCATAAATATCAGGATTAAAAATAAATGAAGAACATGATCCAGAATGAGATGACAGTGAGAATGGAAAGAAAAAAAATACTACAGCTATCAGAGCTTTACATCCAATGTAGAAGATTATTTATCTGCATACTTCAGCTTATCTAGAATTTTATGTAAGTAATTAGAGAAATTCCCTAAAGCAGAAATAGAGACTCTCCTCAGAGAAGAGACCCTGTCTGTCAACTGCAGTATGTGTCACAGGGCATGCAGCTCTCCCATTATTTAGCCCTAAGTACCTTAAGCCCTAAGCACTGTAGCGCTTTGCAGGAAAGCAGACCTGGTCTAAACAGTATAGCTTACTCCTACAGATACTCAAGCCACTGTTATGCTCTGCCTTGATTTGGTCACAAATCCTCTAGAACAGAGATCTGTGTTCTGCTCAAGCATATGACATCATCTCCCTCAGCTCAGAACCATACTTCCAAGGCTGAATACACTGCAGGGTCACTCTGTGGACATCAGGGAACACTCATGAACAAAAGTAGATCTTGCTGCAGGTAATTAAACAAATCACACTTTTTTTTCCCCATACAGACCCACAGTTGGAAATCAGAGTTTTGGAACTGGTCTCACAGAATTCACATTGGTAAAGCAGTTGTAAATCCCTGAGTTGGAAGGTTGACAAATAGCAGATTCTAATCTATTCTAATTCAATAGAGAAAAAGGACAGCCCTGGTAGACCAATTTCTGTAAAGTGCTGTTAATTCCTGTTGCTTCTTTAAAATGACAGATGACTACTAATCCTTGCTATAATATTTATCTAGAAGATACTAGGATGAAGGTTTCTGCTTGTAACCAACCCCCGATGGCTACAATGCATCCACATTGGAGGAAAAAAAAAAAAAAAAAAAAAAACAAAAAATTATATAATGCAGTTTTGGGTGTGTGCCCCCCCCCAAGGGGCCCCTATAATAAAAAAAATTTTTTTAAAAAAAAAAAAAAAAAAAAGAGCATCAAGTTACATGATGCAGTTATGGGTCTGTGCACCCCCAGAAGGGTCCCAGTACTTACTAAAATTCTTGTTAAAAAAAAAAAAAAAAATGAGAAAAATAGATGGAAAAGAAAAAGAGAGAGAGAAAACCAAATCTTATTTTCTTGTCCTCTACTTTTAAACTGGCACAGTTCCAAGGATCAATTGGAACCAATGGAGCTGGCTATGATTAAAGAGCCCATACACACATGCGCACGCACACGCGCACACACACACACACAAAAAACAGATTACACAGTGGAAGAACAAGACCAACGACCATTTGAAATGAATTGCTTACTCAAAAGGAGCTACTTCTTGGAAGGGACATAGCTGTGCCACTTAATCAGTACTGTCAAAATAGATGTCTCTATCAGAGCCTGTTATTTATTTTGCATCAAGACAGAAATAGTACCTGGTGAAGTTTGGGAAGAAAATACAACGTCGCAAATTGCTTTTCTAGAAGTGAAGAGAGCAGATTTATGGTGGAGATTGCTCCAAAAATGCACTGCAATATAACATAGGGGGCGAAGGAAAAAAAAAAAAAGTATGTGCAATATTGCTGACTGTACTGCTGACAGGGCAGTTGTTCTGGAGGAAATAATGTTTACAGTGCATCTGAAAAAAAAAAAAAAGAACAAACTAAAAACCAACTAACCTTCTCCTGAGATATTGGTTAGAATACAAAATTCTGAACATAAAAATACAAAATAAACTTTCTTGTGGCCACAAAAACAGAGGACTGGGAAAGAAAAAAAATAAATTTAAATACAACAACAACAAGAGCTCAAAACAAACACCACGATCAACAACAACAACAACAAAAGCCAAAGAACAAAAAGAAAACAAATGAGAAAACAAAAATAATAATGAAACAAACAAAACCAAGTGAAACTTCAAAAATGAAATACTAAATTTTCACTTTTGAGTCTCAGGTCATCCATATGACTTCACATCATTAATAAAGAGCACTAGCACAGATCATCCAGAAGAGATGTTCATCCCTTTCTTGAAAACAGTTTTGTTCATTGTCTTATTTATTTTATTTTTATTTATATATCACAACCCCAATTCTTTTCTTCGCTTCTTGAGAGAGTTTTCTCCTGCATCAAGCTAAAACATCGCTTAATATCTGGTACTATTCACCAAATAATCTACCAGGAGGAAGACAGAGGTATGATTTGGTTATACTAAATCTCTATCACACTGGTCACAACCACACCCGAGAAGAAATTATTTTTGGACCCTATAATTGGAAATTATCATGAGTGAAGAATCATCAATGCAATGTATATGAAACACTTATTTTATTATGCTTCTCCCCCTCCCTCACTCTACAGGTATGTATGTCTTCAGTAAATAAAAATGTATTACCATGTTCTGTTCAGCAATGTTTTGAACTTACATTTTCCTTTTTAACAATTCAAACATTGAGTTCACCTGAAAGGAAATTGAATCAACAAGTATTCTGAACAAAGTGAAAGCTGTTTTTCTAGGAAAAAAAGGATGAGGGGTTTGATCAATTCTGGATCACTTATTAGAATCAGCATACATGTCGCATCCTTTGAATGCTGAATAGTCAAGATGCTGTTGAAAAGACTTTCACAGACAAAACAATTAAAAAAAAAAATAGTTTACCATGAAATTTTTTAACTTAGTAGTAACCAAACTGGGAATTATTAATAAATTCATGCTAAACAAAGAGACCTTTTCATAGAATCATTAAGGTTTGAAGAGATATCTAAGGACACCTAGGACAACCATCAACCCATCCCCATCATGCCCACTAACCATGAGTCTCAGTGCCACATCAACACATTTCTTGAACACCCCCACCACTATCCTGGTCAGCCTGTTCCAGTGACAACAACAACAGCAGGATTTTCACCCCTGCAAAGATGGCTTATTTTGGTGAAATGTGAAAGATCAAAGCACAGATCCTGACATAAAGTCAGAGTGGAGATCAACAGCAGTTTTTTCAAACCTAATGAGTAGATGTCAAGTGGATGGGTTCAAGGCTCTTGGTGGTGCCCAGTAACAGGGACAAAGGGCACAAACAGGAGTACTGGAAGATCCATCTGGGGAAAAACTTTACTCTGAGAGTGACAAAGCACTGGAACACGCTGCCCAGAGAGGTTATGGAGTCTTCTTCTCTGGAGATATTCAAGACCCACCTTTGTAACCTGCTGCAGAGAAGCCACTTTAGCAGAGTTGGACTAGATGATCTCCAGAGGTCCCTTTCAACTGATACAAGTCTGTGCTTCGTGTTTGTAATTTGAAACAAGGACACCTCAAGAAGTACAATCAGTCAATTTTACACAGCAGTGAACTTTCCATTTCATGTCTATTATTTGTTGCTTATTAAGTTCCAAGGGCCAGTAATTCAAAAGCCTGGGATTGAAGTATAGAAGATATTAAACTTGAGAACATATTACTGTCTTTTCTTCCCCCAGTAACCACACATTTTTTAAAAATCTACATTTTCAGATTAACAAAAAAAATTGTTTAATGATTTCAAATTATATGACCAGGTAGGGATAACTTACTGAGAATTTGTATTCACCCACCTTTCTAATTTTACCATTTATATTTTTAAATCTTTGTTTTTTTTTTTTTTTTATTTTAGATATGGACTTCTTTGAAATACTTATGTAATATAAACATGAATTAATTCACAGAAATTTATACCTTTCTTGCCAACATTTCAATTTAAGAGAGAAAATCTCTACAAGTATTTTTCACCAATGACATTAATTTGCCAGGTTTTGATATTTGTCAGCCCGTGATTCACAATATCTGTATTTCTCTGTTGTATTTCTCAAAACAGTAGATTAGATCTGGCAATACCAGCATAAATGTACTCTCCATGTTGTAAGAAAAGATTCTTATTCAGTAAAAGCTTTAGTTTCAACAGAATCTGCAGCAATTAGTTACTCAAATCATTTTCTGCCCTTCACCTTTCTCCTTTTCAACAAGGACCATGACCTTGGAAATGCATCACCTGCACATCATATAGAACAACTCAAAGAATGAGTGTCACCTAGAGATCTTTGCGTATTGTGCACAGAGAAGAAAAAAATCAAGGATAAACACTGAAAGACTGACAGAAGCAGACCATAAAAAAAAAAAAAAAAGGAACTCATGAAGAATTTATGAAATATAAATTGAAAATATTCCTTAATTCCTCATTAAGAAGTCACCACAATCAAGGTATCAATTAGAAGCAAGATTTAATTCCTAGCATGTCTTAAAGGTAGTTGGAAATCTATATTTCACAAACAGTTCTGAAATTAATTATAGTTAGGAAAAAACCTACAATCTGTATATTGTCAGGCTCATCCAGGCACATTTGCTGTTTTAAAAATTCAACCTTTATTAACTTTTTCCTTTGGTTTATAAGCGGCACAAGGCTGCAGTACACTTCTACACTTGTGAGTTTGTCTTCTGTTCATGCACGTAGACCAAAGGATCACAGGTGAAAAAAGACAGAGGACTGTAATCTAGGGACTGGCAGCACAGACAGAAAAGCAGCCATGGGGCACTTGATTCCAAGTCATCCAAGCATAGCTTGCATTTTAGCATCTGCCTGTGCTCTTAATAATTCCCAGAGACACCTCAAGCAGAGTCATGCTTTTGCTGAGGAATTCAGAAGCTTTGAGGTAAGAAGTTTGGGCTGAATGGATTTTTTCTCTTTTTTTTTTTTTTGACAAATGGGGAATAAAGCATGGAAATAAAGATTGTCACATAAGAAAATCCAATACAACTTGAAAAACAGTCTCTACAGCTCTTCTGAGAGAAGTCTTTCAGAAACAAATTGAAAAGTATCTATCTGCTTTTAGCTGAAAAACTGCTTCCACGTTGTTTGAATCTTCACGTTTCTGAAGATGGAAGTCTCTTCTAAATATCTAACATTTCTGACCATGGGAAATACTATAGGTTTAATTTTTAGAGCTTATGCCTTCTATGTGCTACCAGATTCCAGCCTTGACACCCATTGTATCTCTGTCTCATCAGTCCCTCAGGGTGAGGAGCCCTCACCCACACTTCCCTAGGTTCCCAAAATCTTCCTTTAGTTGGCTGTCTGAAAAATCACTTCCCCCCCCCAATATCTACTATGAGAATATTTATGAGTTTCAATATTGTAGAAAATTGTCAGATTTATATTTACATCAGATTAATATAAAGCTTGGTGAATAATTTTGGCTAAAATATTTAATGCGGAAAATAATTCAGTAATCAGCAAAGTGTATTAAATATGAGTATTTTGAGCACAAACTAGGCCTCCTAAAAGATGCGTTGATAGTTAAAGAAAATGAGCGTTTATATTTTCTTCATTCAAAATAGTATTTTGCTTAGAAAATTTCTAGCAGACATTTTAAAACTGTAAAAGTAACTAAATACAATTTAAACAATGAATTTTGCCATAGATCTATAAAGCAAGTAATTTGACCAAATATGAATTCTTTTACCTTAACATTTCCTTTATGCTCAGTGCAGAATCGTTCTTTCTTTACTTTTCAGAATTACCAGCAAAACAAAAGATTCACTATTTACACAGCTGCATTTCTGACATGTATGCCCCAGTGTCAGGGCTGCATTTCTTATTCCTGGCAGAGATTCCCAAGAACATTCCACTAGTTAATAGGAATAACATAGGTCAATTCAGGCTTGAGATAGGTAGGTGGTGTTTAGTGGATTTTTGACCACATTTATTAGGTCTAAATTGCTGCCTTTTTATTACTTTATCAGTTTTTCAAAACTGGGATAACATTGCAGGCAGCAGACTGCTCTTCTGTGACTTTAACAGAAAGTAGTAAAATCTAGTACTAGGAAATTCTAGTAAAAGGAGTTATGACCAGACATTTTTCTACTTCAAAAGGTTTTGTTTACTTCCTTGCCACTCTCATTAGTTTTTTTTTTTTTTTTTTTTTCCCTTCCCTTTTTAGTAGCACTGTTTTAGAAATCTTGGCCCAGTCTACTTTACCAGCATTTCACATCCTAATTTTTAGAAATGCTATGCACCAAGGTTTTGGACTGCTGTTTGCCCACAAATTTTGCTTAGTGTGCTTTGGAAAGGTACTTCAGGTTGTTTTTCCGCTTTGGAATTTACTTCTGCTGAAGCTGTGGAGTTGGCATTATTTCACTAGGCCTTAATCTTACATTAAATAAGAAACTCAAAGTTTTCTTTAGCATTTAATCAATTTCACACCAAAAATTCTCTTCCTCTTTGCATCCTCACAGCTTGCCCAAAATTTACTGTGTTTTCTCTTTTGCACCTTTTCATTTTATGTCCTCTGGAGACTAATTATATTTCAGTAACTCTCACATTTCACTCCCCTTCTCTCCCTTCATTTCACCATTTTCTCTCCACTCATCCACTGGATATGTTATGTTTCTCTGATGCCATTTTCCTCTCACGTCTCACTGAACGCTTTCCCTGGTTTGAAGTTCTGTACTAGCTTCCCATGCTTCCCCTGCCCAAATACCATTTCTGCTTCTTCTGTAAAGGGTCTCCTAACAAGGTTTCCTGTCTCTCTTATTTCTACATATCTGCTATTTTTGTCATGCTGACATGCCTTTTCTCCTTACTTTTTATTCATAAACCTCTACACACAGAAGTTTTTCAGGGCCTCCATCTTTCCCCTCCATGGTAATTTTATACCTGTAACAATCTCCAGATGCACGTATGTTAACATCATCCTCACTTTGACCAAAAATTAGAACCACTTCTTTCATGAGCAATTTGAGTAATAAAGCAACAAGATACCAGTCTGCCTTTGTTAGCTATTCTGTGATACTTGTTCTAAATCTTCTCTGCCAAACTGTTATTTTACTGAGTTTGCAGATGAAGAAAACGTGCTCTAAAGCACTGTATTGGAAAGGAATTTTGGATAATATTTCTAGTTTAGCTTTAAGATATCCTTCCTGCCTCTCATCAGAAATCTGGCTTTGTTTCCTCAAAGGGCAACAAAAATATAAGAGGATCCCTGCTCACAGAACCCATGCTCCCCTGGCTTTGCCAGTCCAATCCCAAGGTTCAATCCAAGGGATTTTAACCCCAGTCTGGGAACAAGGGCCATTGAATATACTTAGAGCATACAATAAAAAGATGCAAGCAGTGAAGCTTTACTATAACTTCATCACTGTCAATAGTAAATTGTTATTTACATGCAGCTATTGAAAGGAGGAACTTGCTGTATCACATAAAAAAGGGGAAACATGATATCACCATGCTATAGCTTCCATCTGTTCAGGCATGGAAGGAGATCTTTTCATGACATTTCAAATAAAAATGATATTTGTTTATCCAAAACAGAGGCTATTAAATTGTGCAGCCCATTCCTCAGGCACATCTTGCTGAGTGCCTGAGCCGCAGGATACCACTCAGAAGGTGACCTCATTCTGAACACTGAATCCAAATGAACAAAAAAAATATTTGTTTCTTGAAATCCGTTATAGCAGTTTTCAAAAAGTGACCCAGTGAGACTTGCAGCAGAGGAAAAAAATAAATCTATTTCAGTTATTCTTCAGCTCAGTATATTATGCATCAACCTACGGCTCCTTCTACTACGACTCTCAAATTGTTTTAAGAGGAAAACAGAATGAATAAAATACATATTATTCCTACAGAACCAGTTTTTGCTCTCACTTATGGCAGGCTTAATTCAGAATAAATCTAATGAAGTCAATGGTTTTCTAATAGCGTAAAAGCAAACAAATTGAGCTCTGAAGCTTCTCATGTTTTATCTGCCAAGTGTTTTCATGTTACGCTGGCAAATGGACAGTGACAGGATGTACAGGTTTTGGGAGCCCTTTGGCAGGCAACAAAGAAGCCCTATTATATCCCATGACAATGCAGTCATTTGCGAATGCTACCAGAACCAGACTTCATAGCCAGAAGCATAGAAGTTCCTCTCACTAGTTTGTTATCCTCACATGGTTACTTGCTATATTGTAAGGCAAAAAGACATCCTGGATGTTTCCTGGAAGCAATAAATGCAGTTGAATGAGAATTTTTTCACTAAAACCCAAATATGAAGGAGAAACATTAACAGAAACTACAAACCACTCTCATGGACTCTTTTTGTCCTCATTTCAACACAGGCTCACACTTTCTTCAAAACCCCATAACATCCAGCATCATGGTTCTTTCATCCAGTCAATACTGATCATTTTCTTTTGGAGATGAGCTTTCAATCTACTTGCATTAATGACCTTTATATTTGCTGGGGAAAAAAAAAAAAAAAAAAAAAAAAAAAACAACAAAACAACCCAGAGACACTTGTCATGTGTAATTTTGTTTGTGCCTGCTAAAAAGAAGAGTAGATCCAGAAAGAAGCATTTAGCACCTTACATGGTTCTAGAAAAGTCAGGCTCTGACATCTGTTCACTGGCCTGAAAGCCAGACTTAGTTCTCCACACAAGGGCAGCAATACTTTCACAATACCTCCCTGTGAGGTTCAGAGTGCCCCAGCTGTCATGTTACCCTTTCACCTCTGCCCAGAGTCTACCCAGTCCAATGAGAAGGTAATATTTCAGCAGAGCAACCTGGAGGACTCAGCAAAAGAGCAGTAGGTTTCTCCCCAGTGATGTTTGCCAGTTCCTGCTAAGACAGCTGCACATTGAGTGCAACTGAGTCCAAATGAGTGTGGAAAGGGGAGGGCTGATGCAAACAGCTTGTATGCATCCAAATGCTCTCCCTACAAGTTTCCTCTAGGAATCCCACTGTAATAACCTTATTTTACCTGCTCCACTGAGGTTTCAGATGACCCATACCTCTACAGCACCTATCCCTCATGAGCCAGGCAAACAAAATTTCACTGCAAGCTATGTGCTTGCAAAGTTCATGCTCAGGAGACCCTGCCAGCTGGCTGCTGGCAAGCCAAACAGTAAACTGTGGAAGAGTCCCAGACTAGTTCTCACTGAAGAGGTCTCTTTCTCTTCTATGAGGCCTCAGCTATTTTCAAGGCCCATCTTGCCTATCAGTGGCAGCTAAAGTTGGTCAAGAAGGCTCAGAAGCTGTGGGAAGAAAACAAAATAGTTTACTTACCTACAGGTATATAAAACCTTACTCCAGCTAAACAAAGCCAAACCATCCACAGCCAAGATGAGATAAAACACGAGAGGTAACCATTGATGTCCTTCCTTACCCAGCCCTGCATCACTCTACATAACTAAATTTTGAGTGGGGATTCATGAGAAATGCTAAAAAAGGGGAGATTATCTGCATTAACTCCTGTTAGCATATCTGGTCATCAGCTTATCACCCACTGTTAGTGTACTGAAACACGGAATAAAGCTGCATGTCTGAAAAAGACATTGGGTGCAAAATCGGACAGAAGAGTGTCAGATTGCAGTTATTCCATTCTTTCACACAAAATGTGAAATTACATGTTAACTGCCTTCTGGGCATACAGTAAGCATCCATTAAAATAATCACCATATGGCACTTTTTGGGATATAGTAACTTCCACATTATTTCACAAACCATTCAGAGGAACAATTTCACAATGGACCCTGCAGGACCTTGAAAGGATTTTATCAGGTTACTGGATTAAGGATTTGATAGAGATTCTGAGGAAAAAGCAGGTGGAAATAACAGCTCACATAGTGCCTTGGCAGAATGATTGCTGGGCTATATTCTCCGTTCAGATGGGAAAAGGAAATCCCTTGAAATAAAAAGTCTGGCTGCTGCTGATTAGCTGACAAGAATGAAATTGAACACTATGCACATAAAAACCCTGTATGTGCTACCAACTGATGCAATTCATTTTCTCATGGTAGCACGGGCTTGGAGAGGAATCCATTAAGGCCCAAAGAAATTAATAACAGAGAAGCATCCCCTACCTTGCATGATTTTCTTTAAACATGGCACACAAGTCTAGATTTGTGTTTGTATTTTATTTTCATCCCTTCCTTACTTGTTAACTTTACTGCATTATATAGCCAGAGCCTAAATTATTCTGCCTTTTCCTGTTACCAAAATATACCTCCCATCACTTTCTCTAGCTGGAGAAATAGTGTAATAAGAATATTCTATATGAAGTGGATATCTCTAAATCTTTGAGGAACTGCAGTTGTATCTGGAGTTTCTAACAAGACTAAGGCCATTGATTGAAAGCAAACTATAGCTAAGGTTTATCTAAGAAAATTGTATCAAATTCTCTTTCTCCTAGTCTTTATCAGCTTTATTTTTTTTCCCTGCAGTTTTACCCCTTCCAGAGTCATTCAAATGCATTGCCTGTTGGAGGACTCCAGTTGTGGTGATGGTACGTTAGGTGGCAAGTCCCATGAAGCATGCTAATACGCGCTAATCTTTTAATAATGATGAATATTTGACTCTTTGTAATGGGGGTCTTTCTTTTTTAAAGAGGCTTTCACAAAAAAAAAAAACAAAACAAAAAAATCATCACAATGGTTGTCACAAGTAAGCTTCCCTTTCCTTTGAAAGAACTGACTGTAGTAGAAAAGATAATTACTTAGTTCCTTTATCTCCAAATTATTTGTAATAAAACCTGAAATCGCACCACAAGGTCTTTCATGAGGATGTCATAAATTAAGATGCATCGATGTATTTGGTGCATCTGTTCAGCTCTGCACTCCTTTGTCTTCTGCAAATAGCGCAGCAGCTTCAATACCCAGCAGACAGCATTTACGCAAATGATGTCGTGGTCTGTATCATTAATATTCAGCGATTGTCTGTCATAGACACCTTACTGTACATCTGTTATGCAAATTTATGTTAATTTTCACTCACTGACAGCTGCCTTGGTTCCCTCCCTAAAATGATCTTTTCCATTTTGAAGTTTGCAATCTGTTCCCAAAAATGTTAATCTAACAATTAACTGAAATTGCTAAACAGAAATTTTACGTGTTATGTCCAAAATAGAAACCAGTGTTTTTAAATAGATGGTGAATCTTCTCTTCACATCATTTGTTTTATATGTGATTCAGAGGAGGGTAAACATTGATCTTTGCACAGCCTGTGTTGGGATAAGTGACAATCTCCCTATACAGTAATAGGTTTTGCAGGAAATGATGCAGTCTTGTTTTCACACAGGCTATAGACATAAATTTTACTTTCTCATTAAAAGTTGATCTTTGCACAATTATTTTCTATTTGGACATTTCAGAATGTTATTAATACATTAGTTATTTAAACCTTTGATATTAAATAATGTAAACACGTTTCAAAGAATGACAAAGCATTTTTAAAATGTTTCAGAGCAGAGGGAACACCACAACAGCATAATGTATCATGAGAAGTGAGATTCAGAGGCCTTGGAACATACAATCACATTGTTGGAGAAAAGACTTTAGCCTACTGTTCCCATAACAGGGCTTCTGCTTCAGAGTCATGAATCAACGAAGTTACACCAAATATCCCACACAGAACCAGCGGACATTTGGACAGGTGGCATACAGGACAGATTTTAAGGCTTAGACTTCAGTGAACATATGTGAAGAGTGCCTAAATGGAACAGTCTCCAACTTAACCCAAAGTGGAACCAGATTGCTGGCACAGAATATTTACAAGTTCTGAGGCTCACCCAAAGCAAGGGAAAGTTTGACATGTGCCAAGCAGAGCTCAAGTCAGGCAAACATATGCAAGAGATGTCAAAATCAAAAGAGTAGCTCTGTGTCCCAGAGAGGACAGCTTTGAAACTTGGAAAGAACTAAACAGGGTCAGGTTGCAGCTATTATGAAAGGGAATTCAATAAGAGTCATATTCTCTGTACTTGGGAGGGAGAAAAAGACCAACCAAAAGCCCCAGCAAAATCCCATCACAACCCTGCATGCCCGTACATGAATGCCAACAACTCTGAAGCAGAAACCAGTTAAGTAGACTGCCTGGCAGGGTGTTATCTCAAAATAGATTTTTTCAGGAAACATGGCCATAGAAGAATTTAACAGAATATAACAGCTGGCTATAACCCATACAAAAAGAAAAGCTGAAAGACATTTAGTTGTAGCCATTAAAAATAGCATTACAATATCAAATACAGTGGAGATACCTACCCAAGCCCTGCTCCTTATCAGGAAATAAAGCGCAGTCTATGTCAGGCTGAGCTGTCAAAATAAGAAGAGTAGGAAAATTAAACTGATAAATTAAAGAGCAGCATGTCACCTGACTGATGGCATCCCTCCAGGAGATCTCTTAGAAGCAAAGCTGCAGTTTTTAACAAAGAATACAGAAGAGCTCATTAAAAAAAATAATCACAGAATGGCTGGGTAGCAAATATCATCCTTTCCATCCAAAAAAGGAAACAGGGGAATTCTGAGTTGTAAACTACAAATCTTCAGAAAAGTTTCTGGAAGGATAATTAAGACAAAAGTATAAAATCACCAAAATGAGAATTCTATGAGCTGCCAGGGCTTTTATTAAGGAAAATTGTTTGTCTCTAGTCTATTGTAATGCATCAAGTGTGTTAAACAATGGATGATGAAGACCATTTGGTAAATAAGTTCACTTGAAAGCTGAAGTACTTAATTGAAAAAGTATTTCCTGAGGAACCAATTAGGAAAGGAGAGTAATCATGTAAGAAGAGTGAATATTCTGTTGTAGTTCAGAAAATGATTGACAAAATCAGAGCAAATAGAAGGATACAACTTACTCTCAAGTTAGAAATTCACCAGTGAAAAACTACCAAGCCATTTTAGAAACTGCAATTAATAAAATTACTTGGAAAAGGACTGAACAGCCATATCAGTCTTTGCAAGTGTCAAAACTTGGTCTAGGTTTGTCTAGACAAAGGGGAGTGCTTGACAGACTTACAAAAGTATCTTCCTTTCAAATAAATCACAAGGCAGCTCTTGGACAACTGAAATTCAGTGTTATGCACAGAAAAAAATCTAAGGACACAGGATATAACAATTTGAGGAATTCTCTGAAAAATCACATTCTACTTTTGAATACTGCAGGCCACTATATCATATAAGTATTCATTGCAACTTTATCAAGCATATCTCTGGTTATCAGTCTCCTCAAAACAAATTTTAAACCATTTATAAAAACATTCAATGGGTGACAGCTTAAGATAATATTTTGTAATTGAATCCCTAAAAAGAAAGATTTGGACTCCTGTGTTTCCCCCCGTCCCCCCCCCCCCCATGAAGTACTGGTATTGAAAACTGTTTAGTTAATCTACAACTTGCAGTATAGCTGTACAATCAATGAACATACAGATGTTATAGTTATAAGATGTACCAGAGAGCTTGGCTACACAGTTATTACAACAAAGCAGAAAAGGTAGGCTGCTTACCCACATCCCAGGCCCACTTACAAAACTCCAGCACAGAGGATCTCCAGAAGAGATCCTTCTCTGCAGGTAGTCAGCTCTTAAATAGGTCAAGGGGAGGTGCAGCCAGGCTCCACCCCTTCCGGCAGCACAAGAGAATTGCCTTCACCTGTGCTCCCATGGCTGACTCATTGCTCGCCTCAGGTGATCAATCAGAGGTTCAGGCCATGATTCAGCAGTTCCCATACAATAGCCATGGGACTATTATACTAACTTAAGAAAAATCCCACTATGAGATAGTTTAACTTTTATTAACCGACATTATTGATATTGAGTCATTCTACAGTCATTCCATGCTGTTTCCTGTGAATGTACTTCTCAGCCATCATAAATATCACATTGCTACTAATTCCTAAAAACCTGATCCACCTGAGTTGTTTTTTTTTTTTTTTTTTTTTTATTTCATCAAATTTTCAGGGGATACAGAACAGTACACTAAAGATTGTCCCTCTAACATCATCTATAATGTTGGAGTAAAACAATGGGATAACAGTAGAAGAAAGCAACTGATAGCAGTGGGCCAGGTTCCAAGGTTATTGTACGCACCTGCCAGCTCAACTAGCACAGCCCTGACTGCTAGATGCTCTCCCTCAGTCTCCAAATGCAGGGCTCTCTACCTGTGCTTTCTACCTATTCCAAGGCCAGGGAGATTTAGAAAAATTAGGTCTACAACGAAATACAGTTTTAGAGATACAGTTTTCATTGTTTGAGAAAGAGCAGTCAGTGTAATAGGAAGAGCAAAATGCCAAAGAGCAGCTGCAGTATAACTAAACTTAGAGCTTTGTTGGTCAACAAATCTCCAAACAGTGATTTTTTTCCCCTCCCTCAATGCCTTTTTTTTTTTCCTGTTGTCATTATTGCTTTTCTTCTCTAAATACATTGTCATTTTACTGTCATATGGCCAAATCAATCATAAGGAAAAAGAATGCAAAGAATTACATTACTCAACTTTGACAGCATTTTTACACTGTACAAGCCTCAAGTTGCTGCATCAGGAAGAGCTCAGAGTCTATGCTAGAAAATCCCACCTATACAAAGGAGTTGAGGCAAATAAAGTTTTTCCATTTTCATTTTCTTCTTCACATTTTGGAATGTAAACAAGTATTTCAGTATTTCCTGCTAAAAAATGTCACAGTCATGACAGCCTGAATAGGATATTTTCCTTCCAGAAAACATATACTGGAATATGCTTTTCAATTTCACAGCTATTTTAATTATATAGACAAAATAAATTTCATCAGAAGCAGACACTTAAAATGAAAAATCAAAACATTTTGTTCTGAAACCAGAAAAGCTATTGGTTTTCTTATTGAAAAAGATGTTTTTCCAGATCGATAAAAAGGAAATTAATAATTATTTCATTATATTTAACTATTTCATTGGAAGTGGTGTGAGGGAATTTCAAAGGCATCTTTGAAGAAAGGCTCTTGAGAAAGTGGGAGGAAAGTTTTCTTTGAAAGAAAAGTTTCTTTGAAAAAACAAAACTTTCTTTGAAGAAAGTTTTCTTGAGAAAGAGGAGTGAAGTAGCACAAGCGCCTAACTCTGTGGGTTATCCACTTGTCATAAATGCAGACACAAGATAGTAGACAAGAGAAGCCTTTTCTGGAGGCTTAGGATTTCACACCAGGTAAAGAAAATATCTCGATTCAACCCACAAAGTAAATGCTCAAATTAAGAAAGGAAACAAAGCAACAACAGAAAACAAAACAAAAAACAAAAACAGAAAAAAAACATGCCTTCAAGGTTACCAAAAATTTCTGTGCCTATATGAGACTAAAACTCCTCTCTACCCTCTCCTCAGCAAATCTGAGTGCTGAAGAAGTAGGCTTCTGCTCTCCACCTTTAAAGGCTACAGCTGCAAGCTGTGAGCAACCAGTGGCTGAAAAGCACCATCCCAAAGAAGTGCTCTGTCATCAGATCTCTAACTGCTCTTTCCTGCTTGCCAAAATTCTGTTCACAAATGAAAAGCACTCAGTCTATCATGTCATCATACAAAACATTTAACCCAGAAAAAGCATTCTCTTTGGTTGAGGTACTGTTGGGAGCCTATCAGTTCCTCTACTTCTCAGCAGTACCTCTACTTTGTACATCAACTCTCTCATTTCCAAAGGTGTTTATCAGGATGTGATTTCAGTTATAGGAAATTTAAACCCATAAGTTTCAATACAGATGTAGTGAAATAGTAACTAAGGTAATAGAAAAAAATATCAATATAGATTGCTAATAAATTACGGTCTAAGAGAGACTTTTGATCACTAGATTGCATTAACCTCTTCTTTTCACTCAGTTTCACTTAATCTAAATGCCATTAATCAACTATGTATTTAGGTAAAACTTCTGCTAGTCCTACAAGTATCAGTGATGCATGAACAACTGTCACTTGTATGACATTGTTCTGCTCCTTTAAAAATGCTGTAGCAATGAAGAACATAAACAAAATAGTATCAGTATAATTAATTATGTTTTGGGAAAGCACGATAGCTTAAATTCATGAATGTGCACATGCTAGTACTTCCAGAGATCTTGCTGAAAATGATACTATTCCAGTAACAAAATGAATAGCAAGACGATGCAAGTTCCCTCAGTAGTCTGGAGCAAGTTATGAGTATCGGGCGAGGACACATCACCAACGCTGTGATGTAAATGTGGCTGTAACTGCAAATAACTCAGATTGAACCATGAAAAGTGATTCCTATATTATGAGGACAAAGCAGCTTTAGACACTCATTTTAAGTATTTTTGTATTTGGGCTTAAAATAACATCTTCCCATACTCACTGAAAAAACTTTCATTAACCTGCATAAAAGAAAAAGTCAAGCTCTTAGCTGAACAGCAATAAGTGACATTTTGATCCAGGTAATATGAGGCTATACAAAGCATAAATTGAGTTAATTTAGGTGTGCAGCAGTGTATGTAAGTTCAGAAATTTGCCCAGCAATTTTCATTAAGATGAAGTTCTTTTCAAATGCCAAATATTCCTTTGGGAAAGATGGCACCGAAAGAAACCCCACAATCCCAGATAAACTTTAAGCTGAATTACTTAAGCAGGTATGCAGGTTAGAGAGATACACAGAGAAACTCACCTTGAAAAAATGCATATATTCACCTCGTTAACTTCCTGAGTTCCTACATTCACATATCTCTGGCCTTTGTTTTCCATTAATTCTAGTAAATGAGGATATTAGTAGCAACATTAAAGAAATTTCTGTCTTTAACAAAAATAATACCCCTTAAGAGCTAGATCATCGTATTTAAAGCTCACCCTTGGATGAATTCCAGCATGCAGACCCTACAAGCTGTGCTCAGAGCTTTGAGGAGGAAGCGCTTGGGCAAGCTGTGCCTTGGGGAAGAGCACAGCACTCTCCAGCCATGTGCATGTTCATTGCTCACGGCTATTTTCACACTACTCATCAAACTTCCAGCTGAAAGTAACTTGACTGAATTCAAAGCTTAATTGTAGATGTCTTGTATGTTTCCATCGCATCGCATCATATTTACATTGAAAAGGTCATGAGCTGAACTTTGTAAAACATCGTAGATCCAGTATGGTGAGTCACTTTTACATATGACTAATCATTGTTGACTAATCACTGTTACATATGAATACACTTAGCTTTCCTCAAATGTGTTTTAATACAGGGCTTGGGATAAGGAGGTGGCACCCTGTCTGCTGAGCTGCAGTCAACTACAATAAAGGGGATACTTTTTTTTTTTCTTTTTCCCAGGACCTTTCAATCAAACCATCCTTCTATAAGGACCAAAGAAGCATTT